GCATACATCCAAATCAACAAAGGAATGGCTTAACCAGAACAAGATAAAAGTCTTAGAATGGCCCAGCCAGAGCCCGGACTTGAATCCGATTGAACATCTGTGGGGTGATCTGAAGAGGGCTGTGCATAGGAGATGCCCTCGCAATCTGACAGATTTGGAGCGTTTTTGCAAAGAAGAGTGGGCAAATATTGCAGAGTCGAGATGTGCATTGCTGATAAACTCATACCCAAAAAGACTGAGTGCTGTAATAAAATCAAAAGGTGCTTCAACAAAATATTAGTTTAAGGGTGTGTACACTAATGCAACCACATTATTAGTTTTTTATTTTTACTTCCCACTGAAAAACAGATTTCAGTTTGTTTTCAAATGAGTTGTACAAGTTATAGGCCACATTAAAGGTGGCTAAAGTTCTGGAATTATTTATCTTGGTCTCGTTTTTCTACATCACAGAAACCTGGCATTTTAACAGGGGTGTGTAGACTTTTTATATCCACTGTAAGTGAAACAAGCTGCAAACCCAAAAGCTTAGGTTGCTAAAAGTATATCACTTGCGAAATTTCACACACACACACACACACACACACACACACACACACACACACACACACACAATTAACTGATAGATTCATTACCAATTTCTCAGTTCAAGCTCTCGAAGCTAGCAGTAATTAGCAGTCTCACAGTTACAAAGTCATGGCTGCCATGAAAAAATGGCTAAAGGCCAACTCCAATGTACTCAATCATCTAGACTGTAAACTACTACTACCAGGTCAGACTAGAACTGATTTCCCATCAACATCTCCTTACCTCAGAAGTTCAAGGCATCAAGCAATTCTAGGTAGCTAGAGTAACAGAGAAAGAAATACACTGAGGTCTTTGTACTACTTTATGCAATGAGGCTGAGAGGCAGACGCCTATGCTTTCAGTAAGACTAATCCTCTGAGGCTAATCTCTCACTGTTCCACATTTGGACAGACTGACAGTTCAGACAGCCACTATTTAAAGAGAACCACACCCCTGATGTAACCACACTAATACAGTTACACTCTATAACTGTGGCATAACAGTTATGAGGTTGCTACAGACATGGAAATTAATATTCTCTAAATTTGAGAGATGAATGAATCAAACGATGTGTGAAACCAACTGCACAGAGTTGAACGACTGTTCTTACAAGTAAAATGTTATTAAAGCACATACACTGAGGCTTCTGTTGTAGTTCCAGATTTTAATGCGAGATATTCCAAAGTCTGGGGAGCGTTCCGTGTTCCTGATGATGACGTAGAGCTGGATGGGAGGGTGGAATGGGCATGTCCACATGTGACGCTCTTTGGTTGTCTGTTTACCCAAGTAAAAAAAAGACTAAATTACCAAAAAATCTTTGTCTGTGAAAGAAGTAAAATTCACGCAAAAAAGTCAGCTACCTTAAATGTCAGCTGTGAAAAGAGTATTCTGTACAATTAATGCAGTTCAAACAAGGCTAACTGTCACATTATAACTATAGTAAAGATGAAAAACTATAAACAAATGGGGCACCCCACTAGCTGAATGGTTACGGTGCAGCGCACCATCTGCCCAGGCACAGTGTGATGTCAGAGGTTTGAGTACAACCACAGGCCGTTGTCGCAGTCCTCCCCCTTGACTCCCTCATATCCTGTCTGCCTCTCACTGGCTCACTAAAACAAATAAAGGCACTGAATATATACTGTAAATATATGTGATATACAGTGGGTACGGAAAGTATTCAGACCCCCTTAAATTTTTCACTCTGTTATATTGCAGCCATATGCTAAAATCATTTAAGTTCATTTTTTTCCTCATTAATGTACACACAGCACCCCATATTGACAGAAAAACACAGAATTTGACATTTTTGCTGATTTATTAAAAAAGAAAAACTGAAATATCACATGGTCATAAGTATTCAGACCCTTTGCTGTGACACTCATATATTTAACTTAGGTGCTGTCCATTTCTTCTGATCATCCCTGAGATGGTTCTACACCTTCATTTGAGTCCAGCTGTGTTTGATTATACTGATTGAACGTGATTAGGAAAGCCACACACCTGTCTATATAAGACCCTACAGCTCACACTGCATGTCAGAGCAAATGAGAATCATGAGGTCAAAGGAACTGCCTGAAGAGCTCAGAGACAGAATTGTGGCAAGGCACAGATCTGGCCAAGGTTACAAAAAAAAATTCTGCTGCACTTAAGGTTCCTAAGAGCACAGGGGCCTCCATAATCCTTAAATGGAAGACGTTTGGGACGACCAGAACCCTTCCTAGAGCTGGCCATCCAGCCAAACTGAGCTATCAGGGCAGAAGAACCTTGGTGAGAGAGGTACAGAAGAACCCAAAGATGACTGTAGCTGAGCTCCAGAGATGCAGTCAGGAGATGGGAGAAAGTTGTAGAAAGTCAACCATCACTGCAGCCCCCCACCAGTCGGGGCTTTATGGCAGAGTGGCCCGACGGAAG